GGCACAGTTATTAGGTCAAAATGAGTGCCACGAAAAACAACACTTTTAAGAGAGTACGGCTTTTATAAAGGTTAGCAAAGTAAACAGGCGCTGGAGAGTCTCAACTCAAAGTCAGTCTTTGAATATTTCAAACTGAAGTTTTTAGATTAAGTGATTGTTTATTATGAAAGCAACTATTTCCTTGATAGGTTGATGAAGGGAAATGCAACTTGACGCATTCGACTCTAATACTTAAAAAACTATAGCATTCATCAAGGAACCATTTTATTGATAATTAGAACGTAGAACCTTGATAAATTGATATCAGATTCAAGCTTCTGGAAATCCATTCACTTTCGTTACTCTTTATTAAATATCAGCATCTTCTTAAAAAGCCTTTCCTTAGTGTCCGAAGTCAAATTAACCATTTCTAAAATTTGAATTCAGATCCAGATTGTCTGATCATAGTCATCTTTCTTCAACTTTCATAGGAATTTGCTAGTGTGTTAGAAAATACTATATTTCACGAAAGCCCTCTAGAACTGATAATTGTACCTATGGTTATCATAATTGACTCTGAAATCGTAGGTACGGTTTTCTTAGTTGTAGCAATAACCGTACCAATGGTTCACATAGTGAACCCGTAACTATACCTAAGGTTATCGTCATCGTTGTCTCACTAACATTCATAGCGATAGTCGAAGCTATACTCCTTACTAGCCGGTACTATAACACATAAAGCGTTTTCTTCATACTTGATGACTGTGATTCAATTAAGAAAAGGGTCAGCGGAACCATGAAAACTTATGCCAATCTCTGATGTAACAGCACCAATGATTGATGCAAGCATGTAGGTGCCTGAAAAATGATCAAAATCGACCATATTAGTGAGCTCCTAATATTCTTACCTGCCATGCTCGCCTTAAACTCTAGGATTGAAACCGTATTCTTGATTTGAGAGTGTAGTCGCATTCGAGACACTTATGCAGGAATATAATTATCAGGCTAACGAGGTAGTCGGTATAAAAATGAAGACCTACAGTGGTGGCTGCTAGACGAATATTGTCTGTTATGTTGAGCCTGAACTAGTCAATAAAATTCTTTGAATCTGCCATACTCATAGGTTTCCACTCTCTAATTTCCATTATTAGCATTCATGTTGACAGTCAAAACTGTAACGTCGATTGGAGGAATTATATGATTGCCAATCTTCCTTTTCGCCAACTGGCTGAAATTCGCTAATTGGCGAATATACTAACGAAAAATGGTCTAGCTGTAGGTGACTTGATGTGGATATCGGTGCGGGTGCGAGTCTGAGGGTTGTATATGCGCTTAATCTATACTCATACCCACGATCCATACACATCCTATAATACTTAAATATTCTATCATCAATTTAGCTGGGCCATAATTCTACGGATTAAATTTGGCGAAATACACACTAGCAACTCGCGAATTGATCAATACATGATGACGAAAATAGTTTATTGGCGAATTTCACACTGGGAATTCGCCAAATTGGCAAATTTCTCCATGACAGTCGCCCATTGGTAAACATACTAAGGCAAAAATAAATATTTTTTGATAAATTTCATACTAGAGATTCACCTATTGGCGAATGTCGTAGGGAAATTCGCCACTAGTGAGTGCACTGTTGGCGAAATTCCGAATAGGTGAACTTACAGAGAGACAATTGAGTGTACGACAAGACCGATAATAAAAAATCTTTTCCAAGATGTGCATGACTACAAAGCTAATAATAGAATCGATAGGGTTACCAATGTCTACGGTGATGGTGAGTAAATGGACACTGCTGGTTACCCTGAGGCTTCATAAATCTGAAAATGCTAGAAACCATCTATCACCGTGGGTCTCCGCTCTAGTAACGGGCATTCTAGGACTACATGGTAACCCTTAAAAGTATATGGTTTACAGCGATGCATTATCGTATATGAAAGCTTTTTTCCTAAATCAGTAATATAGCGATGCCAGTTTTATGACCGATATTGTCACAGGAACCTACGGTGATGATGGTTGCAAGGGCATTACTGATTACTCTGAGCATCAATAAGCTTGTCAAATGCTTCAAAGCGGACATCGCTCTAGGTTCCTGCTCTCTGACCAGCATTTCAAAATTTCATCATGATGTACAAAACTATATATATGAGTACGCGGCGATACATCATGTGAAAACTTTTTCCAGAGACTGTCTACGACGTTAGTTAGACGACTGATAAATTCACGAAATCATACGATAGTGATAACTAGTTTACCATTACTGGTTCCTCTGGTCTTCAGTGAGTCTGTGAAATATTAGAAGCTATCTGCTACTGAAGGTCTCCGCTCTCCGAACCAACATGATTAGGATTAATGGTAGTGCGTAAAAACACGTAATTTAGATCTGCTCACTATAGCAGATGAAAATTTTCTTCATCGATGAATGTGATAATCATGCCGGTTATGGCACCGATAGAGTCAAGAAAACTTCCGGTGGCGGGCATTAAAAGCGTACTGCTGGTTATCCTAAGCTTGATGAGTCAATAGAATGTTATAAACCGGCGATCACCGTACATTCCTGATATTTTAACAGCTATTGTTGACCTTAAAAATGTTTGTTGACGTGGCATACCTAAGTTTTTTGTATAAGCATCTTTCATACTCAGATAGCCTTGCGCTAACGAGTATCAGCTATATGAACATCCTAATGTTATCTGGCGTACGCCTACGGTCCGCATCGTATTGAAGGAACGATCAGCATACAAAAAAATTTTATTAAATTTTGTGAAGTATGCCGATAAATTACAGAAAGTAGACGAATATCAAATATATGTGCTCTTCTCGATTAAGAGATGGTCAGTTTCACTTTTAATTGGACTCAGTTTCAACTGAGTAGCTTTATTTGTAGTATATTATGAGCGGTGCTTACGGTGCTCGTATACCGGTGGAACGGTGAACGGTGCACCGCTACGCCGGTGACCGGTCCACCGGTATCACCGGTTGGTACGGTGCACCGGTGGACCGGTGAAACCGGTGAAACCGGTGAACGGTGAACCGGCGGACCGGTGAGACCGGTGAACGGTGAACCGTAGACCGATCACACCGGTGACCACCGTCACCGTTGCATCCCTAATACATAGACATATAAGTGAAAACAGACCATATTATTCAGAACTCGATATATTGGCTAAGTCATGTTTGCATGACACACGGAATATAATTATGTAAAAATAGTTGGGAAATTTTGTATCTTCTGTTGGTTCTGTTGTCGTATGTGTTGGAATATTGTTAGTAACAAGAGCGATAATCAATGGATGATTATTTCTTTCGAGCACTAAAATTTTTCACTATTGCTATGCAAAAATTTTCTTTAATGGGTGTGAGTGTGAGTGTGCTTGTTTTCTTCACTCACACCCACACCTTGGATCGATTAATTTAAATAAATCTATCCGAAATCACCTTCATGATCATTGGTATAAGGGTGCAGGTGTATGGTAATGGATTTAGTGCAAGTAAATAATCACCCACACGCACCCACTATTCATATCAACTGTCATGAGAGGTGAACAATTTTCTACAAAGTATCATGGCAAAAAGAGTTGGATTTTCTAATACAGCAAAACGTACTCTGAAAACAAAAAAGGCTTTATACGAAACTAAAAAAGGGTTTCGTGATATGCACGAAACCCTTTTTAGGTTTCGCAGTTTGTAACGAATTCGAAACCCTCTTTTGATTTCGTATAGTACTACGAAACTCTCAAAACGGTTTCCTGGATGCTTTTTACGTCTTTGTAAGGGTTTCGAATTCGTTACAAAACTACGAAACCCTTTTTTTTTCAGTGTAGAACGCCATGTTTTATGAAAGTAATATTTTTCAAATTACAGAAATATGTCTGACTTGACTTGCATTTTCCGTCAAATCACAAGTCAAGTTAAGTTAAAAAATGTAAAGCCTAAGTCAAATCGTACTCAGTCACAAGTTCTCGAGAAAAACGTCCAAGTTAAGTCAAAGTCATGTCTCGACTCATTAAAAAATTAGTCAAATCAAGTCAAGCGCAGTCAAAAATGACTTGACTTGGCTTGCCCATTTCTGATCAATAAATATTATTAAAAAAGATAGTAATTATGTTGCTTTTCATCATAAAGTTTTTTTTTACTTAATTGAATAAAAAAAAAATAATTGTCCTATAAACACAACACCAAAAATGTATTCACACAAGCTTAAAATTGTAACTTTTAAAAAATTAAATTCAATAAAAAGAAAAAAGTTTGTTTTTCTTTGACACTTGTTTATACGTTAGTAATAAATGAGACTTTTGAATAAGTCAAAATTTCGAAAAATATTTTCATAGATAAAACTAATTGGTCTAACGTAGTTATATATAGTGAAGAAAGAGTTTTAATGAGATAGATAACTAAGGATAAAATGTAGAATTTTAGGTGATAAGAGCCTTAAAAGAATGTATTTAAGGTACATTAGGTATTACTTGGACAAAAAACAAAAGAGTATAATAAACTATATATATGTGTTTAATTGATCGTTACTTTGCATGAATAACTAAAACTCATGTATATACAACATATTTACTTCTACTTGAATGTATTGAAGATAATTTAAATAAATTGTGAATACCAATTATAACACAAGAATCAAATAATGATATATAAAATACGAAATTAAAATATAATTTAGATACAAATTTAAATGGTTTTTTTATTTAAATTTCTATGACTTTTTACTATCAATAATTAAAGATAACATATTTGATATAAATCATAATTTAAGACAAAACATTCTATGAATTGTTCTTGAACAACTTTCGATATTCTAAAAATGACATATGTTATTTATATAAACGTTCAATAACAATAATAAGTCAATCATCAATTGTTAAATATAAATTATTTTCTTTTAATAGTTGCACGCACGTATTTATACATTTTCACGGCAACGACATGAAAATATAAATTCAATAAATGATGAATATGTTAATGAAGAACAAGAAACTATTGATAGTTCATGAATGATATCATCATCAGATAATATTCTTTTTGAAATTTTTACAGAATTATGTGAAGGTACTAAACAATCATCAAAATTACCATATGAATCTTTACTTTTATTACATCTATTACCATTATTACTTGTAAATATTGATTTACCGAATAATTTAATAAATAAAATGGTTTTAGGATTTCCTGTATCGATGTAACCATTATATCCTCAAATACTTTCATGTAGAATTCTAGCTATTTTTCTTCCTTTATTTAGTATACATTATTGAGCTAAAGCTAAGGAATAGACTGTATTATCAATGACAAGTATTGCACAATAAAAATCAATATGTGTGATTCTGTGCGGATTTACTTCTGTTATGTTAAGTGCATGTGTCTCACATAGAATTACTGATGTATTCTAAGTATCTCCTTAAATCATTTATTCTTGCTGCTTTTTTCTTAGTTCTTTTGATTCATCTTTAAAGAAAAAATATTTTATATTTAAATGTTCATACTCTTGATTAAATAGCGAATTTGTATCGCAAGAATTTTTTCTGAGTTTATTCTTATGAGTAAAATAGACCCACGGAAAAACTTTTTTCAGAAAACGGCTGGAAACTGCTGTTGTTTTTCGTTCAACCACAGTTTCAATTAGATACCATGGTTGGTGGCGGTTTTTCGAAACCACGGTTCTCTGAAACCGCGCTGCGCGCATCCATAACATCGGTTCTGAATACCGCGGTGTTCAACAGTTTCCAATACATCTAAATAATTACCAGTAACCCGGTGGTAAGTAGCACGATATGTCATCGAATAACCACGTTTTCTCAGCTGAAAACCACGGGATGTCTGCTGCTTGTAACACTATGACGGCATGTGTAAGGGCAAAGAGGATCTCGTGTTCGTCTATTTTCATACAATTCTTGAATAAGTTTTCATATTCTATCTCTGACTGTAGAGTAACTTTGTGGTGATGGAACTTCAAATAGTTTACTACAGTGTCCCTCGACGGGTAGCTCACCTGAACATTTTTCGAAGATCAGGTTAGTCTGGCCACGCCTGAGTCAGGTGTGGCTATAGAAACCGCAATTTCAGAAAACCGTCGAAGTCAGACCTTTCATTCGATTTTTTTGAAACCGCCAAGAACCGCGATATGCGTACATCGCAGTTATTACCGCTAAAATAAGAATTGAAAGTAGTGGCTCGGAGCAAGAATTTGATGCTCTTCCTAAATATATCTTTTGAGTTTTACTCAGATTTACGGTTAGTTAGCTGTAATCATATATCTGGATATAGAAAAACTATCGTTTGCAATAGGCTGTTTTCTTGTTGTTCGTAAGTTCTCTAAGGGTGTTATCGGATAATTTCTCTTTCCCATTCTGATGATTTGCAATGATACATATAGGAAGGAAAGCAAAGTGGGGATTTTGTAGAGCAGTCATTCTTTGACCAACTGGTATACAATAAAACTTTCGTATAACTAGAATTGAGGCAGCTTTAATCAAAACACAAAAATGTAGTACACGAAAAATTCTGTACAAATGTCTTTTTCGACTCCCACCAAAGATTTGTTCCCGATGAATCAGGTTTAAATCAGAAAAATTTTCTGGATCTATATATAAAAAGAGCATGAAATAGTCATTCTATCGAACTACTTTTAATTGTCTCCCGCAGCTTATAAGTTGACGAAAATCAAAGAAAGACTTTGTGCAAAGACTTTTACACGCAGGTTATTTATGCCATTCATCAAAGTAATGTTTATTTGTGTGATATAGAATATGATGCAAATCATCAAAATGACCTAAAACAAGAAATTTATCCAACAACTTCAATTTATTCAATAGTTGTATAACTCAGAAAATACTAATGATTGATAAGAAGAAAAGATGTCGTAGAATTGATTTATTATTCGGTTTACTTACTACTTGTCCTATATTTGTTTCTTGCGTAAATAACTCGTTCTACATTGACTCTCAGTTTGTTTCTTCTTCCATCTTCTTTCATAGATAGTCTAATTTATGTTTAATATAAAATTTTCATGTTCGATTTCGATCGTTTTTTTTTCTTGGCATTTTGTATGATGCTCAGTTAGTCGTCAAGTGAGATCAAACTGTGAGGACTCAACTACTCAAAAATCTTATAGTATGCTATAATTCTGTCTAGTTCTTCATATTGTTTTTTTCATTATCAATAAAGATATTCAATGTCAAACTTTCATATTTTATCTAATCTACTTCACTAGTAATAATTTAGAGAATAATTAGAAAAGCGGTCATCCGAGAGACAAGTTGAAGCTAATAGACAAATATGAGACGAACCATGGAAGGCATGAAGAATCCTTATTGTTTTGATGGTTTATAATTGCGCTTGGTTCCACTAGCAAAGTTGCGGTCTTAAAACGTACGAAATTCTGACAAAGCAGGAGAAGATGTCAAAATTAGAAAGACCGACAAAAAAATCAGATAAATATTCACATTTCAGAAACTTTCTCTTTTTCTCAGAAGATCTAGCGACCGTGCATATATCCATAAGTTCATCCTAAATATCGAGTTAAACTAGCTATCAGAAAAGAGCTGAATATAAGTTTTGGAATGAAGTAGATCGACCAATCCAGCCTAATCCTCAATGTCCAAATAAGAAAAGATAGGGAAGATCGATCACAGTAAGTTGATCTTGATCGTAAAAGGTACTATAAAAAAGGAGAACTAGTTAAATAATATGCCTCAATAACACCATTGATTAGGAAACGTTTATCCATAATAAATATTTCAGCTAAAGAAAAAGAAAGAACTGAATGCCAATTGTACCACATATATATCAAGAATCATAACTGCATCCAATATATAAAATTTAATAAAAGAAAAGAGAATAACTGCAGATGATTTCTCGAATAACAAATGTGGTAAGTGCAAATTTATCTATTTATAGAGAGTGAAAAAAAAACAAAATCTTCATTATATTCCTGTGTTTATTGCGATTTTCATTTTATGCACATTGTTTTGACTGAAGAAATTTTAATTGATGAACTCTATTTTCTGGTTTATAGGTTTGATCCACGAAATCTTCGACCGGGATCTGCATTTCTTTAAGACTTTTGGCTCGGACTTCGATTGAATTCATAAATTTCCTAAAAAACAAGCTGAGTTATTTGACTATTTGCTAGATATCATACTACCGAGCAGGACAACGTAACACCCAGCAATCAACCGGTTTTATCACTGTTAGAAATGGTATGGTGTTTTGAGATACTAGTTATTTCTTTGCAACAAGTTCCAACATAAAAAGAAGCGTGGTCTCAATAAAACTTCTAATGATACTCTTCCTTTAGACTTGAGACTACGCGCGTCGATTGATGTCTGTGGTTGTCAGTCTTCTCCTTGTGCTGAACACCAGCACCCCCGTCACATCAAGCCACATTTAACGTCATTTTTCTCAGCATTATGTCGTTCTGCTCGGCACTGCGTTATCTAGCAAGTAGTTAAATAAATTAGATTACTTTTTTAGAAGTAAGTGCATTCAATTGAAATTTGAGCCAAAGTTTTCGTGCGCTGAAATTTTGGTCTTCCCTCTTTTCTCAATCAACCGTCAGTTGTTTTGTATTTGATAGTGTTGATAAATCTAGTTTTTGAATTTGTACTAATGATCCCGAGTAAGTTCATTAATTCGACTTTTATATATTATTGAGATAAAGATATCTTTCCTGAGAAGATTCAACATCGAATAGTCATGATATTAATTTCTATATATACAGAGTTCAATATTAAATGGTTACATTAAAACTACATGAATCGCTTCAATGCGTTTAGAATCATTTTTTAAGAACAATTCAAAATATAAGAATATATTGAAAGAACTGTTGTTTTTCCTGTGCACAATAATGCTATTTTCTAAAATTTTAATTCTTTTCTCTCCAAAGTTTGATTTATTTTCTAGTTATAGCTACAATCTATAATTAAATACAATAAACAAGAACGGCATACAGTATACATATACAACATAAACAATATGATTGACTTTTAATTGTTATGGTGTTTCTGATTCAATATTGTTTGTGTTGCTTTTTTCCCAAGGCTTATTTACCAAAATTTGTAAAAGAAAAAAATAAATACCAAACAATGAAAAAATGGTGCACCAAATAATTGTATTCACACCGGACACTTGATTAAGCATATATCCACCTAAGAGGCAGACAATTAGACCAACAAAAATCGATTCGACCCAACGAAATGCATGATTATTAACTACAAGAAAAAAAAACAAAAATTCCTCTGAACAGACATACGAGGTCACTAAAACATTTCCATTAAACGCATTTTATATGAGTACAACGATGAGACATAAAGCTTGACGTCCTTAAGGAGAATATCAAAAAAAGAACTTAGTTGACTCTCAGAGCGGTAGAAACATTTATTACACTGACAAGTAGTCAAGTGTACGTTAAAGAGAAAACCAATAATGACCAGCATATATTGTCCCTATTCAGAAGAACCAAGGCATTTAAACATCAACTTCAATAAGAATCTCAATATCAAAAAAGAGGAAAAAACCAGATATATGATTTACAATCTCCTATTTGAATTGATTTTAAAGATGTTCAGATGCACGTAATTCACAATAACAGAAAATATGAATTTCGACAAAAATAAAAACTTTCATGCTCGAATAGTCAATGAAAGGAAGACTATTAGCAAAATTTAAATGGTATCAAATTATTTCGGAATGAATTGTAAATAAACGTGGTGTTTTTTTTCTATCTTTTAAAAAATCTTACATGGCTCACAACAAAAACAGTTGAAGCAAGAAATGATAGAGAATTTATGGTTCTAGAGAAATGCAGATCTTCGAAGAAAGAAAAGTTACGGCTTCATATGCGACCACTAGAAAGAATAGTATTACAATTTTGATTTCTATGATAGTTTCTTTCTATTTTTTTTTAAATTAAGCGATTTATGAATTTAAAGTTTTTGAGCCAATTGAATCGTATATTCTACAGAGCTTAATCAGGTCTCATTCGAAAACTATAAATTGTGCTCTATGAAATATTTTAGAATTCAAACTCAAAGCCTATACTACATATGAGACTTGTATTATATTACTAATACAATGTACTACTAAAGATTGCTATATTCATTAGAAGCATACTAAGATGAATTGTTTCAAGAAAAAATCTATAATATATTGTTCAAATTTTAAAACTATTTTCATTGACGATCTTATTAACTGAAAAAGAAAACGTAATATATCGTTTTCCAATAATTAATATTAATTATTAAAACTAATAACATTCAAAGAATACTTTTTATCAGAATCTGATCCAATAAAGGCTGCATCCAATGATACATAAAAGATTTTTCAAACCATCATTTAAGAGAGAAAATCTAATGAAATATTCAATATGTTTTACATTTTAGACAGATGAAAACAAAAGATTTCTTGAATTAAAATAACAAAAAATCTATTCTTCAGAAATTGAACCATACAAGTATCGTATTTCATTGTCAGAGCTATTGAAATCAATATTTGAATGTCATTATCGAGTTGTCATTCAAAGAAAAAATTTAAAAATAAATAAAATGCCATGTAAACTTCTAATTCCCATTTTACATATATTCACACAGAAACATGAATTTTACTCTTCTTACTATTTCATCTATATTAATATTAAACGAAATAAATATAACTTACGAATTCCAAAAAACCAATTTTTCTTTTTCTTTTCATTATATGTTGGTTTTAAATCCTTTTGAGCTAATTCTTCATTATTTTCTTGTCGAAATATGTGTAATAATGATTCTTCAGTATTCGATTGATCAGCATTTGCTACAATTGATGATGGTAATTCTTCACTTTGTTAAAAATATATCTCATTTGGAAATGCAGAGATTTACTTTTACGAAGATTTATGGTGGACAAGAATAATTATTTCTCATTACCCAGGTCTATGGATACGACTATCCGTATTTTCACCGTAAATTTGCTTCATACGACACCGTAAACGGACCGTGTTTTCTCGTGATCATGGGCACAGTAATACGGCACCGTACACGAGGTCGTATTTTCACAGTATACGGCCGTATACAGGGCATAATCTCATTATGATAAGGCCGTATTTCTGTGTCCGATATTACGGTCGTATACGGTCCGTTTATGCGTCGTAAGGTAAGCGTAAACGGTCGTTTACGGACCGTATCGTTCGACCTGGGTACCGAAGTATTTTTTGATATATTAGACAGTTTTTTCTAGAAAGAAAAGGCGCAATAAAATTTTAGAACATTGATTTGTTTCCACTCACTCGAATTGCATTGAATTCTTCAAGTAGACGAGTATCAGCCGGATTAGCAATAATCATTTTAACTGTCTATAAATATTTAATAAAACGAATTTTCCCGATGATAATCAGCATATTTTAGAAAAATTATTTTAAACCTACTTTTAAAAAATCAGCTTCTACTTGACTTTTATTCATATTAAGAGACGACATGAATCGAATTTACCAACAGAAATAGCAGGTTAGATGATTAAGAAGAGTGTCAAATGAGTTGATTAGGATAAAAGAAGCACTATGCTTCAGGTGAAGCCAAATAAATTTATAATAGTTTTCAATTTGAATAATATGCCAATATAATTTTTGTACAAAATTGTTTCATCGAAATATAATATATCCTTGTATATGTTATTGTTATAACCAAACTGTCAGAAAATCTATAGATAAAACTTTTCTATGTAATCTAGAAAAATGGAGTAATGTTCATTTTATCATCCGATGAAAGATGTATAACAATTACATAATATTAAACCAGCAAGAAAAATTCATAGAGATTGTTGTTAAACTGAAAAGAGAACGAAATTGTTTGGGTACTTATACATGATATGCACCGCTCATCACAATGACAAGAAAGAAAAAAAAGTCAAATGGCGCATTGGATAACCGAATAAATAGTAGGTCATAAGGCCTCAGTCACATTGAACAAGTTAAAACTGAATTAACCAATGAAATCGCTAGAAATGTTAAAACACAGGTCGAGATAAGCTACATTCACACGCTACATATAAAATGTATGTAGCTTATCCTTAGTCGTTTGAGCCAATGGAATTACGTTCCAGCTTTTACTCTTTTCTTTCCATGATTTGTTTGACATATATGTGTGAAAGGAATGTATATGATCAAATTCATATAAAAAAAACTTATTATTTTTATTTTTGAAATAATAAATAATCGAAATCTTTAAAAGAAATAAAAATTTATAATAAATTCAATCGACTATTCTATTTTTTGATCGTAAAACATTTAAAAATATGTTTGAAAAATATAGGAATTTATTTATAATGCTGTGAGAAAATCATCGATAGAACTTTAGTTGAAAATAAACTAATTTCTTTTGTTAAAAAAAAATATTAGTTTGATTTTTTCATTATCTGTCAATATTGAGTTTTTTTTTCTCACGATCATTTTTACTTTTCGATTCAAATAAAATTTATGCATTAGAATTAAAAACCTATGAATGAATAATTAATTTAAAAAAGTTTAACAGAAAAGTTTTTCAATGAGTTTGTTTTAGTATGATTGATATTCAGACGAAGTTTTAGAAATAGCGAAGCATTTCAATCAATCATCTCTGATGTTTCTCATAGAAATACTGCTAACCGACGAGTCATTTTCAGAGTAATGACATACAAAAACATGTTTTCTTTCTGAAGTGCACAAACCTTGAAATCCTCACGTAAAAAATGGATAGTGTTAAAACCAATGTGCCACATTTAATGACAGAAAAATTTTGAGTACAAAAAAGTCTTAAAAAATGATTTATGTGAGAGAAAACTTCTCGGTTTATACAATATGAGTTGTCACTGTATCAAATAATATTACTAAACCTTGAATATAAATATAATCAGCTTCAAATTATATATTGAACATAAATATAGTCAATGAGAGTAACACTATCACCACTTTATCGATAATCTCTATGCATTAACTATGCGATTTGAATGCTAAAAAAATGAATTGCCGAAAGCATTCATCAATGACACGATGAAATCTATATTATTTGAAAATATATATGATTTCATGTTATATCTCAAAATATATCAG